CTCTAGACACTTTGCCTCTTAGGGAGTTCATCCACCCCCAGAGTTCTCATTACCAATTCACATGAACATTCACCAAACTGAATTTCCACTGGACTTCTTTGCCAGACATCAGGTATGTCTCTCCAACTATACCATTTCCACCTGTGTCTAAATCCAGCTCATTGAAAATTGAACTTATCTCCTCTTCCACTCTGTCTCGTCCCAGATCTGCCAACTGCTGGCTTCATTCTCCAGTTTCCCAGGCTCGTAACTCCACGGGTGTTCTCAGACACAAGAAGTGGGGGCAGAAGCAGCATTCAGCCGTCACCAAGTCCTGTGAGCCACCTGCTGCCGAGGCGCCCAGAGCCACCTCATCGGTTTGGACGTTATCATCTGACACTGCGAGGCTGTAGTGGCCTCCTGAATACCACACAGCAGCAGCTGATTTATCCCCTCAGAACACTAGTTTTCCTAGATTCCCTCTATATCACATTTAAATACTTTAAACATTCTCAAATAACCAGGAGATATTTAGGCTCATTTACCCAGCCACCATGATCACCACCACTTAATGTAAACCAGCTTTGCCAATTATTGTCCCCCTAACACTTATAGAAGAGACGACCCAGTCACAGGTGTTTACTGGATCTTCTTTTGCAAATTATGTCCTAAATATTAACAGTAAATACTGGTGGGATGAACTGCTGCATGTCAACTTCTTCTCACACTGTTCTTGGCGACTAAAATGCTCAGTTCTTCCTCTCCAAGCTTTCTCACTTCAGGTCTTTCTTATTCATTTAGCAACAACACCACCTACCATCATTTATCAAGCACGTGCTCCATGTAGGCACGAGGCCGGGCACTAAGCAGGCACTAGGCCCCTTTATTCCTTATCATCCAGTGTGATGAGAATTATGATCATCTCCATTTTACAGAGGAAGAAACCGAGGCTTGAGTCAATAGAGTAATACGCCCCAGGTCACAAAGCAAGTGGCCAAGTTTGCCACCCAAATCTGAACTCTAAACTTTATAGAATATTTCTTCTTTTATCTTTCCCAAAGATAGATCTTTCTCCTGAATACTCTTCATTTCTCCTCTCTGCTACCCATCTGGCCCTGCCACGTGGATCATTTTGCACCACTGTGGATTTTCTAGCATACCATGGGAATCAGGCCCAGGGACTGGAAGTAGGACCACCTGAGAAGGGATCCCAGCTGCACTGCTTGCTAGCTTGTAGCCCCAGGCAACTTAACCTTTGTGTATGCCCTCCTCTAATAAAATAGGAATTATCACAGCACCTGAGGCATACGATTATTGGAAACAACTAAATGAGTTAACGATCTTGATAAAGCACCAACCTTGGTGCCTGGCACATGATGAGTACTTAGTAAATAGTACTTATTAAAATTCTGGGTGCCTATACCAGTCTCCCACTCAGAGCATAAACTAATCCAGGGGAAAGAGTCTCTGCCTTTGTAATGCCACAGCATTTAGCAAATCTCTCCAGCATAGGAGACTCCACGAGGCTGTGATTTTAAAGTTTTCATTTTTGTGATTATCTTTTAGAAGTGGCAAGATTCCAATTATGTTAACCATCATGGCTAGAGTTATACCACGTGGACTGAAATATTGAGCTGGTAAATAACTTGTGAATTCATGGCCGGCCCAGAGCTCATGCATGTATTTAATTCAACAAGCCTCCCTGGAGCACCTGCTCTCACAGCCTGGCAGGCACAGAGGAAGCGGAGGTGAATACTGAGTGGCCTCTCCCAGCACTCTCTATAAAGAAAACAAACATCACACCGACAAAATACTAACTTGAGTTATATCAAGAAACGTCAAAGGGGAAAGGGCTGCAAGGGTACATTTGATGATTAAAACGCAGCCCTGACTTATTGTCTATCTACATTTAGTTCAACCTAGAAAGTGGCAGATCGTGCAAAACATAATTAATATTTCTTTTTTTCTTCCTTTTTCTTGGGATTAGAATACAAAAACTGTCAAGTGACCTTGAGTGAATGTACGACACCATGGTCCTCTGGCATAGGAAAAGCACATCCTGTTTACCTAGCACATTCAATCTGATTGTGTCAAATCTGCAAGTAGCAGGGAGCCGGTGCATCTGCAGTGAAGTCAGAGGGGTCGTTCCAATTTAAGCTGCAAAGGCGGCACCATTGTCAAGGGAGCTGGACATCTCTTCATCCTCATGTTCGGAGGTGACTGTGTCTTTGACAAACAGCAGCAGCCAGAATTCTAATACACGATGCTTGCTGCTGCAGGTACCTCTGGCCCCAGCTTCTCAGTCTCATGAACGGGTATCTTCTGCTTCTCAGTTTAGCCACTGCATCTCTTATAGCCAAGTCTCAGAGATTCTCAACCCAGCCACATAGTTGAATCACTTTAGAGATTTTTTTTTTTTAAGTGCCATGCCAGACCCCTTTCCAGAGATTCTGATTCGATTGTTCTGGCAACATGTCTGGACATTGTTCTCTTTATGTAGAGGTCCTGACGTGACACTCATGGACAGCAGGTGTTAGGCTCTGCTCATATCTGGACCAGGCAGTAGTTTGGTCTAACTTCAGATTCAAAGCCAAACATCTACCACGCGGCTGCAGAAACGGATAGATCCAGCCACAACATTAATTCTTTAGGCCGCAGGGCTTTTATCCTCATACTTCTGACCAAGAACGGGGCTGAAAAGTGAGTGGAGTGGTCAGAGTTTCTTCTCACCTCAGTCAGAAGAAAAGATGCTTTGCACAGAAAGATTTGTTGTATCATTCTGGGCAAATACACTAACCTCTGAACCTCTCATGTTTGTATTCTAAAAAATGGAAATAAAATACTTGCTTTACTTGTAGCATGGGGAAAGAAGAACTATGAAAGGCTTTTGAGATCTAAAAAGTTATACTTTGAATTTATAATACGTAGAGAAAATGGATTAGCCTCATCAAGCAGAGTAGGCAGCAGCCCATGTACTGTTTTTAACTGCTTAAAAATGCCCCCAAGGGCCACAAGGCACAGTAAAAAATGTTGCTGTGTTGTAGAAACTAACCATATTCCGGGAGTGGGTTTAGCCCATAGTATCCTGGTGGAAGTCCGTCCTGTGGTTAATACTATACAGTAGAGTAAAAATGCTAATCAGATTACCTGAGGATTCAGATAAGGGCGAAGGAAGGTAAGTCTAACAGGATGGTCCATTACAGAAGGTCCAAAATCAGTAATCCCGAGTGGCCTTCTAGTTGGGAGTGGAGAAAACTTGAAGAGGGCCAGAAAATGCAAAATAGCAACCTAGAATGTTTGTAATTCTTCTTGGGTTTGACATTGCTTAATTGTTCCTTCTCTCCAAAACTTCCCTCCATGACCGTGTCAACTTGTTCATAGTGATTTTTCTTTTTTCTGATTCGAATCTCTCCTAACAGTGGATGGGAATGGGCATGAGGATACTTTTTTACAGAAGACCAAAAGAGATGGAAATACATGCATTTATTAGCCATTGATTAAAAAGAGAATCTCGCCCATCCTCTTTGGACCAACCACTTTATCCAGCTAGCTAGCTATGGTTTGTCTTATATATTATATCTATCTGTCTATCAAGTTCATTTTGTTTCATTTTTTCTCTGTTCATTTCCAGAACAAGGCTACCTCTGATGGCCATCAAGGGAAGGGCTCAGAGTGCTAACTGGCAAATCTAGAATTTCATCCTTGGGAGGTTGTCATTAATATAATTAATTGCTAAAGTCACAACTAACACAGAAATAGTAACAGTAAAAATGAGTAAAACTCTTCCAGAGTTTTCAAAGTATTAAAAGAGCTACCTGTGTTCCCTGCCTGTCCTTTCTTCCTTTCACTGAGAGTAAGGTATTGTTAAGGATCATCCCGTGAATTAGACAATGAGAATGTATTGTACCCCTGTGCCTGGCTTGTACTCAGAGCAAGAAGAACAGAAAACAGAGCCTTCAACCAGTAACACGGCAAACTGTGGACGGGATAATCTTTGGGACAGGGGCAAAGAGAGAGTATACTGGGGGTGTGGGGGGTTAGAAACTGTTAAGAGATATTCTCGCACTTGTGGAAGTAAATCTCAAAGCAAACCAAGCTGGGAGAGGGGCTGGAGAGGGTGGTTAAACTCACATCTACTGGGTATGGTGCACGCACGCTAATAACCTTGACTCAATTTGTGCAAAAAGCAAAGTACGTAAATAAAACACCTATACCCCTAACATTCTGAAACAAAAAAAAAATTAAAAGAGAAAAAAGGAGATACCCTTCTACAGAAAGAACACATCCATGTATCATTTGTGCAATTGAAAATCAAAGAAGCCAACTCTCTTAGCCTTCATGGGAGGAGAAGCAGAGCTGGGGTGACGCAGCGTGATGGGAGGACGCCAGCGCCCGTCACAGAGCTGTTTGTCCTTCCCTAGTGCCCCAAACACTGCCTGGCTCTGAAGCCCCAGCACTATTACAGACGTCCTTCCTGGTGCTGACTACAGACTCCGGTCCCCTCAGTCACAGCTGGGGGCTTGCAGCTTACCCAATTTTACATTTCAGAGGTCATCCCTGGCCCTCCCAGGACTGTCCGAAAGCCCAAAGAGCAGCCCCACTCTTCCCGCAGTGTGGGGTGCAGCCACCCAAGCACAGCACCAGCCCGGCAATGGTGCCTGCCCGCCGAGCTGCTCGAGGCCAGGCAGCAGCGCGGTAGTTCAAGAATGCTCTGGTTCTTACGGCATTTTCCGCAATGGATGAGAAAATTCACTTTTAAAAGAAAAAAAATGCACACACACGACTCTATTTTAAAGAAAATCCTAATGCTAGCTGTCCAGTACTCGATCTCCTTTAACATAGTCTCATCAACTTGACCAGCAGCCTGCACCATGCTCTCCACCTTCCCCCAGATACATGTCACAGCTGTGAAAAAGCCAGTCAAGCAGAGAGGATTACAAGGGGAAGACGCGTAAGAGAAGCGACCTAGATGCTCCCTGCTGCAAAGGGAGACAGACCACGGTAGGAGAAATGCCTGTTACCTGTTCAGCACCCTTGTGCCCAGGCTGGCTTCTGCTCTGCTCGGATGCCTAAAAGCTTCCCAGCTCCCACTACAGGGCCATTTGCCCCGCCGTCTCCTGGGCTGGGCGGGCTCACGCCCGGTGGAGGGAGAGACGGGCTGGACTCATTTCAAGCTTTCAGGTGGGACTGGCAGCTCCGTGCCCACGCTCAGCCTCAGCCGGGCCTCCCCAGCTGCAGTCTTCCCAGCCTCACAGAGTCATCCCCAGAGCTTCGCGACTGTTATAAAAACAAGTGATTGATTTCCTGGTCCTCTTCCCCCCTCCCCCCCACCATGGTGTGTGCAATTTCCCTCACGCCCATGGGAAGTCCTTCAGATCCTTCTTATCTGGAAACCTCTCCACCAAGTGGACGGACTTGTTTCCAATGCCCCTAGTTTTTTACTTTCCTCTTGCTAAAAAAAAAATTGGAAAAATGAAACCAGAGCAAAACAAACTGGGTTAGAGCTTATGATGGTATAGGATGCCCAGTTTAAAGCTTTACAAGATAACCACTATATCAGGCTGACTTGGGAAGAAAATTAGATTATCAATGAGTTGCTGGTCATTAACAACCCTAAGAAGTCAGAGAATGGAAGAATCCCCAGAGAATGAGAGAAGTAAAGAAGTCCTTTAGTCCTTACCCCCGGCTTCAGGGAGGGCTGCACTTCCAATACGCCACATGAGGGGGACTTCTGGTTCTTCCAGGTTTCCAGAGAAACTCTGTATTTGTGTATCAAATGATGAATTTGGTGATACCTAAAATGTCATCTTGATAACATGGATATTTAAAGATAAGGAGGTTGTTGGATTTAAAGAGGAATTATAATCAGAGTTTTGGAGTTGGAGGTGACCCTTCCCATCCTCGTGTTACAAGTGAGGAAACTGAGGCCCCAGGAGAAACAGTGACCTGTCCAAGGTCAGAATACAGATGGGCAGTCATAGATTCTTATCCAATCCTTCTTAAACTTCTACATGGGGAATGCTGCTGCTCACCGCCTACGCTCCGGCTCTACTTACAGAACGCTTGATGAATGAGGCACGGTTGGGAGCCCAGGAATCTGCATTGGAAGTAATTCTGACTCAGGCAGTCCTAAGACTGCTTTTAGATAAATTCTCACAGTGTCAGAGCAAGGACTCCAGAGTTAGACTGTAGGGATTCAAACTATGGTCCCAGGGATTTTATTTTTGTAGCCATGTGTCCATTAGTTGACTTCATTGAGACTCAGCTTTACGATGTGTGAACATGGGATGATTACAGTGCTCAATTAATAGACTCTGCTGAAACTCAAGAAAAAGAGCTCAGTAACTGTTAGTTGTTCTCTGGAGCCTCGGGCTCTAACGCCTCTAAGTTCACCCTCTCCATCTGTTCCACGCTGCTTCCTTTCTCCCTTCTTTCTTTTTTCTGTTCCTTTTTTTCAGAGATGGCATCTTGCTATGTTGCCCCGGCTGAACTGCAGTGGCTACTCACAATCATAGTACACCACAGCCTTGAACTCCTGGCCTCAGTGATCCTCCTGCCTCAGCCTCCCGAGTAGCTGGGACTACAGATACGTGCTGCTGGGCCTGGCTCTGCGCTCCCTTCTTGCCATGCTCCCACTCTAGGGCACTTTAGCACCACCAGCAGAACTCAGGCTTGGGACAAAAGTATACGGCTAAGGAGTGGATGAACCTTCAGCATTTAATTATTCCACTTCCAGGTACTGATTCTCGATTGTATTCCATAGCTTGAATTAGACACACATTACCTGAAGAAACAGCCTGCTGTGGGAGTGAGCTCCTGAGCAAACACTTTTTTCCTGCTTGCGTTTGGGTTGCTGGGTGCAGCTGGCTGTCTGACATGGAATGGGGCGTGGTCAGAGTCACTGCCCCTTCCCTTCCCCAAGGAGCAATTCCTCTGACCCACAGTCCCCTGCTTGTTGTTAGGAACACTCTGTGCTTGCTGCATACACTTTACAATGAAAACAAAAGCAAATAAAAAAAAATGGAACCACCATCTGGCCTCAGCAGCAACATGGAATGAACTGTGGATGGAGATGCTTTACCCTGTCATAGTTACAGCTGGCAATGACTGTCAGAGGGGCCATTCTGCATTCTGAAAGGCTGGAGTCGGTGGCAAGATGAACCTAAGCTTCAATCAAACTGCAAATGTAGTCAGAGTAACTCACTCTCCTGTCATAGCTTGGGTTGATATGAAGCGTCTCCTAACGACTTCAGGGTACATCCTGATCAGAGGCAGAGCTCCTGCCTTCTCAGGCAGAAATTTCAGCACCAAATAAGTATGTATTTCCCAGCACCCCTCTGCTCTTTCCCCTTCTTCACCCAGGTAACCTCTAATCTCTTCTTAAGTTCTAGGTGCTATTTCTGCCAAGGACTTCCCTAACTCTCCAGCCCAAGGCAAGTATTTCCTTTCTCCCACACTGCCACATGTGTGTCTTTCTGCAGTTGCCACACTGCATTCAAACGTTCAGTGCACTGACCGTAAGCACCTCGCAGGCAGGTCCTGGTCTGAGTTATTTGAGACCCAGCTCCTAGTATAGTGCTGGTGTATAGTAACTTACCAATAGAAGGAAGCAAAGTTAAACTGCCCATCTCGGTTTCCAGACTGGTTCCTCCTCTTAGTACTGGAGTGTCCCATAGCTCAGTCTTGGGAATTCTCTGTTGACGCTCACTCCCCAGGGCATCTCTGCCAGTCTGGATTGAAATCTTCATGCTGATGACTTCCAGTCGTATATCCCAGACCTCTTGCCTGAATTCCTGACCTATATACTAAACTGCCTACTTGATATCTCCACTTGAATGTCCCATAGGATCTCAAACTGAACATGTCCCAGATGTCACTCCCTATCTTCCCTCCCAAACCAGCAACGCCCTATACTACTGTCTCCTTTATTCGTAAAGAACGTCTCCATCCTTTCAGGTTACCCAGACCAAAGCCCTAAGAGTCATTCTTGAGTCCCCCTGTGCACACTTTACATTTAATTTGCCATCAAATCTGGTTAGCTCTACTTTCAAAATAGAGGCACAGTCAGGCACTTCTTACGCTCCTCCACTGCCATCCTTCTCAGCCAAGCCATCATCGTCCCTTGGCTAGATTGTTGCCGTAGCCTGTAATTGGTCTCTATGCATCTCCTCTTGGTTCCTCACAGTCTGTGTCAAGACGGTGCTTAGAAAGGTCCTTATCAAACACAAGCTATATGCTGTCCACCTGCGCTCACCCCTCCTGCACTCCCATCTCCTGTGGTGAGAATGCAAGTCTTCCTGGTGAGACTTCTGTGACCTGTGCCTCTGCCCACTCCAACGCTCCCTCCCTTGATTCTTGGCCTGACTGATGTTACTGCAGCCACGCTGGCCCCGTGCACACCAGGCAGGCTTCCCTGGGCACACCAGGCAGGCTTCCCCAGAGCCTTCATACTGGCTGGTCCCTCTGCCATGGGTGCCCTTCACACAGATTTCCTCCTGGTGCACTCCCTTACCTCATTCATACTTTTGCCCCACTGCTTAGTGAGGCGTATTTCTGCTGACTACCATCTTTCACATTCCGCTTACTTGCTTTGTTATTTTTCATATGTCTAAAACACTGCAATGCACTTTCATTTCACTGACAGTCACCACCTCCTGCCCCTGTGCTGGAGTGTAAGCTCCCCCGGGGAGGAGACGCCTGACTGGCTCCTTAGAGAAGGGGATTGAGACGCCTAACACCCAGCAGAGTCAGTCATTAAGGGGCAGCGCTGGCACATTCCCCGTGAGCGTACAAAACAATCCCACATCCACGCCGGGCACCGGAAGCCTGGGGTTCTTTTGTACGTTTTGAAATCCACAACCAGATGTTGGTAACCCTTTTGACCCCATGTGGCCCAAGGTCGACTCTCTTTTGGAATTTCTATCTTGAGGCCAGGAAAATTCTCTTCTGGTCCTGACCTATCCTCATGCAAGGAAGGAACCGACAAATAATTGGACCGTTTTATAGTATACAAATGGTCTTGTTCTTATCTTCTGTGTGTATATTTTGGCAGAGTCTCCACTAATGCAATCGGTAATGCTGGGCTCAGCTGTGGCCACTCAGGTTTTATTTGCACTCATGGCTCCTGTGCCCTTTCTAACAACAGATGGTGTGATGACATCGTTGTGTACACATATTTCAGGTAGCGATGTCATTTGGCTGTAGCAGATCCCAAAGCTTCCCTCTTTTGACCCAAATGAACACAGCTGACAGCCCCCTTCTACCAGGGCCCTTGCTTTAGTGATGACCTCAGCTTCTGCCAGAAATCCAAACACACTCCAAGTGGAACTCTTTTCTGGAATCCATTCCCAGAACTCCTGTCTTTTCCTTCATGAGGGAGAAGCAGCATGTGCGCGGAGGCAGATTTAAGGTAGGCCTGCATGCAGCTGTCACCAGCAGCCCTCTTTTAACCCTTACCCTTCCTTGGGAAGGCCTGAGCCTCAGTGGCCTGTGAAGCACACTCAGGCTTCATGTTCCACCTTAAGTCTCAGAGGTGACGCCATCCATGGAGCAGGAAGCCCTCGCTGATGCCTGCCCCCATGTCTCAGCTGTCATTCACCTATCAGAGTCAGGGAGGGACCAAATTCATAACTGAATCTTTTGCCTGCAGTCCCCACTCTGCCAGATGGAGAAAGCAGGGCATGTGAGGATATGGGCATTCCTTCTTGTCTGGGTCCTGCAGAGAAACCATTTAGAGGAAGCTGTGCTTTTCCTCTGAGTGTGCCCAGTTCCTTTTATCCATGCACACTGCATGGTCACCCCTATTCTAACCTCTGCTCTTTTACTGGGCATGCTGGGTGCAGGCGCATTGCAGTGACGGTTCCTGTGCACTGCAGATAGCAGTGAGGATGACCTGCAAACATCCAGCAGACCCCAGCCTGGCTCTGCACAGCTCCATCCTCCTGAGACCATCTCCCACTCAAATTCCATTGCTCTGTGTTATTTTCAAGACCCTAGCATTTCTTTTGATCCTTAAAAAAAAAAAAAATAGCTTTCCTCATTTTTCTCTCTGATTACAGAGATATTTTCCTGAGAATGCATCAACGTGATTAGTGAACAGCAAAGATGCCAAAACTGCCAGACAAATATGCGCTGAAGAGTCTTCCGTAAGAATCGGAATGAAAGAACGTGGGAGCAAGCGGGGTCAGCGATCACTGCTTCCAAGTATCTTCCCATGTTAGGGAGAAGTTCAAAGGTTTACAA